AGTATCAAGTGAGATTGTGCATCACATTATCAAAATATAGACTTAGATGACTTCTGATTAATCATTCTAAGAACTCTTTGAATGAAAACACCTCTATTTTGCAAGCCTTTGAAAAAATGTGTTTAAGACTCATTTTAAAGCATACTGTTTCAGTTTTGGATTGAAAATACTGTTTGTGCATGATGCTAATGTAATCTGTTCTTCAAGAGGCCTTACTTTCAAATGTTAAACAGCTGGTTTTCCTAGTTCTTAAAAGCAGGAAAGTTTAATTTTCTTTTTATATAATGTAGTATTCTCAGTCTGATGCTATCCAAATAAGAGTGCTCAACCAGCACAGAAAGCAGTTGAAAACAGCTTTTTCCAAAAGCTTTTTATTCACATTTTAACCCTTTCATATACATCTTAGATTTTTCTAATCTTCTTAGATTTTTTTTTTACTTTAGTTACAGAACAGGTGACTAGTATTCCAATGCCCCAAGTAATAGCCATGCAAAAAATGTATTATTGTGAAAGATGTCTTGTGGCATAGTTCATAGGATAATTAAGGCATCAAAGTAGAGGGATGTTATACTTCATATTTGTTTTGAGTGTAATAAAAAAAGAATGCAACCAACATCTCACAATCCATTTTAACATACTTAAAAAATATTAAATAGTCAAAATACTGTTTCCAAATTTTTATTTAGAAAATAACAGAGGAAATTTTCTGTTTCAACACAGTAAATTAGAATTTAAAGTTAGATTTCTAGTCTTATTTCAGAGATAGCAAATGGAAATATCCCACAAAAGTCATTATCCTATGAGAAATATTAACAGCAAAAAGTAATACTGTAGGCAAGAGATTTGCAAGTCATGAGTCAGGAACTCAACATGGAATAAAACTGAGTATTAAGACAAATTGCAACAAATAAGTCAATCTAATTCTACATGAGCATTTTTCATATATTTATACAGAGTTTTCCTAATATTTCATATTATGAAACCTAATTTCAACAGCTAGAATATGAGAACTTTTTCAAAATGAGTTCAAAGTTCTCTCTTTATAGCTGAAAATCTGTTCAATAAAACAGATTTTTAGTAGCACCTTTGATTTAAAATAAGAACTTATTTAAATGTCAAGTTTTTATTAAATGAGATAACTAATTGAGAAGAACATTCTTTACAGAAAAGATAACAGATGTCTTTTAGGACTTTCAGGAACTTGTATGTATAGATTGAAGCACTTTTCTCTGTTTTCCCCCATGTAAATAGCATAAAGCCTTTTTTAGAAGAATCGGAAAACAAAATTTTAAATTGTCTAGGATGTCTGTTTACTGGACATCCAAGATGTGTTGCAGAACAAACATCAGTTAAAAAGTCCAACTGCTATGGTGGTTGCTTGATAACTGAAAACAGACATAGTAACAGTTTATGCTACTCATTGAACAAATAAATCCTACATCCATCTTGGAATAAATTTGGAGCTTCATCAGGTTCTCATTAATGCAAGCACATTAAAAATAACTGGAGGGGCCTAATACACTATATTTTAGAAAACATAGAAGTATTATTAAAATGATACTAGATAAATAACTGTTTCTCACATTTCTATTTAAGAGAATTGAAATAAGGACGATTACAATCATTGCTGGATTATGGCTTGAATGAAAATGTATTAACTGTTATATTTATTTCAAAGCAACATTTATTGCATAAAAGCAAATAGTCTGTAGTGTCCCACCATATTTCAAAATTTGCTAAATACGTACACATAACTGAGATTTCAGATATTTCCCTTCCCAAAAATGCTTAATAAGATAGCTAGCACTGCCTTTACCAAAGATAATATACATGAAGCTAAAAATCCAACCATTTGTATTCTTATGAAATAAGCTATAATAAAGACAATATACTAGGATCTCTAGAATCTGTTCAAGCATCTGAAATACTCCTAACACTTGCTTAAAAAGGAATTAAGCCAATTGACTTGACAGTTTTAATTCTATTTTTATATATCTAAATCACCTAGTAATACTGATTCAAATATCATAAAAATAATTCTTGCCTGAATAAATGTTTGCTTTAATTAATCAGACTCTAATTGCAAGTATAATTCAGAAATGTTCAGCCCTTAAATTAAAATAAGGCAGATTATTGCAGCTTTTACTTGGATGAGAAGTGAAACATTTTCAAAGAAAAAAGAAAGTCCAGTTGCCTTTTTGAAAAGCACTTTTGGGACAACCATGACCTGGATGATTGAGAATCTCCAGACAGTAATTTTGATTATTAGGTTTTTGAAATCTGATGTATTTGTAGATTTAAAATGACAATTCTGACGATTCTAATTGGGACTTCAGGCAACCACAAGATTTTACTACATCAGGGAAAAAATAAACAAGTTCAATGTCCTTGGATTAGATTATCCAACTTTAGAATAAAGAGCCAAGTGATCAAGAAGCTTTAGACAAGTATAATTTGTTCAAGGATTAAAACTAATAAAACTTTAAATAAGACTGTATAATCACTTTATTGTATACTGTACCAGTATGGAGAGCTGAATTGTACAGCAGGAGTAGCTAATGTCATCAGTCTTTTGGTAATGTCTTTTTACTGTGTAATAAACATCTTTACCATTTACCTTTAGTAAGAGTGTTAATACTATGCAGTATTTCTGTATTCAGATGCATCAATATGGTCTTGAAATTATTTCAAAGATAAAACAGGAAAAGAGGCTTTGAATTTATTCCATAATACGTACATCTTACAAATATTTGTTGAAGTTGGAGACATGCATCTATTCTGTACATACCCACAAACACACTTTATGTATAAGCAAAGAAAATTGGAGGAAAAGAGAATAAAGGGTATCCACAATAGTATGAAACCTAACCTTTCCAAATTCTCAAAAGATAAATCACAATTAATCAGTTTCAGATATTAAATACTTGCCTTGTTCAATCAAGCTGT